TCTCTCTCTCTCTCTCTCTCTCTCTCTCTCTCTCTCTCTCTCTCTCTCTCTCTCTCTCTCTTCCTTTCTTTTCGTGTAATTCGATTTCCCATTTCGTTCGAATATATCGCGTTTCTACGTCTCGTTGCTGCGTCGTCGCGAAGCGAAGCTTCGCGTGAGAAAATATCATCGTGCCTGTACTTTCCAGTCAATTATTCCTATCGAGAATTTTTCGAGACCGAACTATTCAAAAAGGCGAGAGGGGCTGAGGAAGGGAAGAAGAACGAGGAAATGAAAATAGATGGAGCGAAGGGTAGTCTGATCAAGAACGAAACTCGTCCTATTCATCTTTGTGCATAATTGAAAGAGCTGAAACGTCTCATCGATATACGTTGCAAATGGCGCGGTATCAAAGAGGCGGCTGCGAATTTTCCGGATGAAAGATCGCTCCTTCACGATAATTTTCTTACGAATCATTCCTCAAGTACATCGTCGAGAGTCAGGGAGGAGGAAGGAGTACGTGGCGCGACTGTCAAAGAAACGCATTAATTTCGATGATTTAAATAACGAAATTAATATCTTTGGCACTTGGCCGTTCAAGATTATATACTTTTCTACTCGTAAATAAGGATCCATTTTCAGTTTCTTTCTCTTTTTCTCTCCATTCTACTCTACTCTCTCTATTAGCCGATACGATCAGGTTTTCATTGAAAAATGATCCCGCGGGATATTTCACCGCAATTAGCGATACTTCTCCACGGTCTTTCCAGCTCGAAGTATTGCTGTGGGAACATCGTCATGAACGGCTATTACTTTCGATCATAGTCATACACTCGAGTGATCATAAGTGTATCTCGATGGTCATGCCGGTAATTCCTATAATCGGCAAGAATATATTCATTATCCGTTGTTACAACATCGTCGGCTCTTTTAATTATCCGGTGAGACGTTAGCAGCGAACTCGCGGATACGCCCGGCGACTGTTAGAGGATATCCCCTCGATAATCGCTCGCGCTCACTGAGGGGCACTTTCGCCCATTTTTTTCGAACAGTCAGCGCACAAACAATCGAGACAGTCGGACAATTGTCGCGTGAGAGGCGCACTCGACGCACAAGTCCGAGAGAGAGGCGACTCTCTCGAGTCCCCGAGGTGGCGCGTCCGCCGGAGCTTTCCGGTTGAAAGATCGTCCGTCTGCGGTAATTTTCCGGGACCGGTCCGTTCCGTGAGAGCGGAGGAGAAAGGAGAGGAGATGAGAGAGGAGAGCCCGTTTGCCCGCCGCGGCATGCGGTAGAAGCGAGGTGGAGAGAAGCGATGAGAAGCGAGGAGAGAGAAGAGACCGGTCGGGGACCGGAGAGCCGAGGCACGTCCGAGCGAACAGGAATCGCCGGAGCGGCGATCGCTCGAAGCGTCTCCTTGGCTTCGGTCAGTGCCTGGCTACGGCCAACTTTTCTTCACCTTGCGGGCGAACGACCGTTACGTTTTTTCGTTCCAAGGCTGAGCGTATCCTTTCGTCGGGGGGCCTCTCCCTTCTCGACGCGTCGCGTCTAGGGACGTGTAATCGTTGCGGGTAGACTGCAGCGAGGCGTTCGACGCGCAGCAAATCTCCGCCAGACCCTCCTCCGGCGGGTTCTCGCGCGAATTTCCGCAAAAAAATATCGGAGATTAAAACTGCTGTGGGGGTGTCAGGTAGATCTGATGGAAATTTCGCACAAGTTATTTCCTTGATGAGTAAATATGTAGAGAATAAGACGCGATAGAGTATTTTTAGAGGATATAACATATTACGCGACAAACATTTCGCGAATATTATAATAATATATCGTGCCTTCTCCGGTACTTGAAAAATTCAGGCCAAGCAATCTCTCTCTCTCTCTCTCTCTCTCTCTCTCTCTCTCTCTTTCTAGCATTTTTGCTTATATTATACATATAGAGAGTCCTCTATTTCCGAAAATATTCTTCAGGATATCTAACTCAT